TTGCTCAGGACCCAGAGACAAGCAGAAAAGCTTTTTGAATGAATTGAAGAAAGACGCAAAGAACAAGTTAAAACACTTAACAGAGACTTGACATTTATTGTGCAATTTTATCTCCAACAGAACATGTGGCATTCTAGAGGTATATGAGGTAATAAAATCAATACTCCAATTAGAACACCTGAAATAACTGGCTCTAGTAACAAATGTTTCTTATAATTAAAAATATTGGATGTTTAAAAAACTCTTATAACATTTTAAGTTCCTAAAAGAAATGTGCCTAACACTTAAAAAACAACTTACTTTTCTATATAAATTGTTCACAAAAAAAATCTTGCTATTCTATATTACACTATGCATTTATAGTTTTATTAACATATCCCTAGTGGGTATTAATTCTACACAGTACAATCGAATAGAAATTATTCATAGAGAATCAACAGGACTCCAACAATAAAAATATTAGGATCAATGGATTTGTCACAGTTTCTCCACAAGTGTTCATCATAGAAAATAGAGTAAAGGCAAGTTGGCCCCAATGTCAGGCTGCTACATGAAGCTCCAGAGAAGAGGGACAGAGGCAGTGCTTACACTGGGCAGGGTCTGGCTGGACCAAGGACCTCGAAAGTTTCAGGACCGTCTCACCGTCTGGCGCGCCCTGTTCCCAAGAAACACAAGCCGGGCCCGCATGGCCTTGGCAGGCTCCTGAACTCAAGCACAGCCCCAGAGATGTGAAAGCCAGTAACTACGGGAAAGGGTCCACAGATTACCATATTTTCCTACAAAACCTTCACAACGGTTCTCACAGTGACATCGTACATTAAATCCCTCTCTTCCAAACCAGACTCATCGACTCTAAGGCTACAAACACAACAAAGGCGCAAACTGAAGGAAACGTTAGCTAACCGATGCCCAGTGCCGTTTCTGACATCTAGGGGTCCCCAAAGAAGATCACTCCACTGAGTTCAAATGTTTGCTTTTATATCCCTGCATTTTTGTACAGGGAACCTACGAAACAAAGGTGAACACATCAGCGATTTTAATTTTTTCACTACTTTAACACTTCTTGTCAACATGGACTCTCACGCAAGTCAAGTCTTACGTGGAAACCCGGGCAGTTACCAGAACAGGTATGGTTTCTAGGGTCCTATTGAAGCGTCAACACACTTTAAAGGTGGTTTTTAATAACACAAATATCATCTTTCCCTCGATGCCATAAATCAAACACAATCCATTCCAGACTGTTGGTGGGCTTTGAGAACTCTGACTACTGGGGAAAACTGAACTAGTCATCCTGCTTCCTGAGCCCAAGGGGATCGCTTACTAGCTGAGTACCTTGGGCAGCGTCCTTACGGATAAACTGGGGTAACGAGAGTAACCGCCTCGGAGGACAGTCACGAGGATCAAAAGGAGACGATGCGTTAAAGTGCTTTGTAGAGAACCTGGCACACGAGAACTCAAGGAGTATCAGCTGCAGTTAGTAGGGTGGTTGTTAGAGGTTTGGGGTGGGCCTGAAGGGTTTTCCAACGTGGCCAACACCCACGTGGCCACTTGTACTGGGGCAATTACGCTGAAGGGGGAACTGTGACTCCGTGAACACCTAGACCTTGTATCAGTCAGCTATGGATGGTCACCAGGAAAACCAGCCTGGCCACTTGTACCACAAAGATTTGGTAAATTTAGTGCTACAGGAGGCAAAGCTGGTCGTTCGTTAGACGGGCAAAGTCCAGTCCTCTCACCGTTGCCTGCAGTTGAGTTCACTATGGAGGGTGAGGTGGCCTCTAAGGTGTAGATGGTATCAGTTATGGTCTTGGGTTTTACACACTAGAAGGCAAGTACTGGGGCCTTGGTGTACGTGCACCCCGCCTTGTCTGGCATCAATCCCTCAGCCTCTAGGAAACACAAATGCCACTGACAATGCAAGTAACTGTGCAGAGGGCCACCGGCAGGGTAGCATTTTCCTGCATCATTCCAAGGGAAGTGATTATTTGTATTCAGTACTTATACGACTGTAAGAAGCCACGGCTATGTTTACAAAAATATATCATAATGCGACATAGCCCTGTTTAGACACGTTTACATTAGGGTTCTGACTCCAGCGTTCTAGTTGACACGCTTTGCCAAGCAGTTATGGCAAATGTTGCCACGTTAAACACACACCAGCGAGGCTTGCACCGTATGTGCACAATCGTTTCCCATTACATTTCTTGAAATTTGTGTAGAAGAGCTGTCAAAAACCATAGATCTCTACTGTGAAATGACACAGCTCTGAACGAGAAAAGTTAGGTTTCAGTCTTTTCTACAAATAAAGTTATCCCAGACTGAGTTTTTAACAAATGACTAAACTCTAAGAAAAAACTAAGGAGGTAGTCGGTGGGTATTAGGGTTAGAGTCTAGAGCATGGGTCGTATAGTAAAACCCAAATGAGGGGGAATGTAGGTTTGCTTTTCTGAAAACCGTGCGTTTCACCTCGCATAATGCTCCGTCCGGGTTCTGAGAGCAGCAGGGAGGAGGACTAGACATCAAAGGCGGGAGGAGAACGCAGAAGTCACGAACCTTCCGGTTCACCGGGTTGGGGTTGTTGTCTAGATCTGGGGAAGACGTCAGGTATCACAAGAACAGCTACTGGGCCGCATACCCCGTTCTACCCGCATCTGGCTCTCGGACGCGCCGGGCCAACTCCCGCCTCTAGCAACGTGTCCTCTACAAGGCTGACAGTCCCCTAGGCCGCTGTGCTTATGGCCGAGGAGGGGCCAACGAAGATCCGGACCGAAGTGCACCCGCCTGCTCTGCAGCTGTGAAGCAGCTCCGCGGGTCTCCCAGTTCCCTCCCGAGGAGGGGCAGCCGCGTTCTGCAGCCGCCGTCACCGGCCTCTCAGCGTCCGGCAACGGCGTCCGGTGGGGCTGCTCACGGCCCAGCGGCCCTGCCCTCCGCAGCCTCCGGCCTGCTGCCTCCCTTGGGTCCCCCAAGGGCCTCCGGCGCCCAGCGCCGCTGCATCCGGGGCTTCGGGTCGCTTGGAAGGTAGGCAGAGTCCCTGTCCTGTCCCCTTACCTCGGGGCAACGAGACACGCCGAGACTGTGTCACTGGCGGGCTGTCCGGTCACGGTGGTCACGGAGCACACGGAGCACTGGGCAGGTGGCGGTGAGCCTCTGGGGCCAGGCCAGGCCAGCCCTGGGTCACCCCCCCCCCGCCCCCCGAGCAGGTGGCGCCGCCGCAGCCCGGGCTGCTCAGTCCGTCGGTGCCGGTGCCCAGCGACTCAGGGATTCCACGAGCTGACGCGACACTTTCTATCTAGCCACGAGCGATCCGCCAACTGCCCAAGGGGCCGAGCGTAAGCCACGTCCTCAGGTCTCCAAGGACATCAGGGCAAAGGGGGACAGAGCGGGGACGGCCCCCGGTCTTGGTGGTGGTGAGCTTTTGAAATCTCGCTCCACACTCGCTCCACAGGGTCTCACCACAAAAACACAAACATCCTCTGCACGCCCCGATTTAGGGATGAGGCAGCCGAGAGGCAACCGCCGCGAGCCAGGCTCGCACAGCGGCCTCCGACGGCGGCCCCCGAGCCCCGGGGCTGGGCGGACCCGCACCAGGACAGCCAGGCCGCGAGCAGGCGGCGCCCCAGCCCCACTCAGCCTAAAGCGCTCAGCCAGCTCCAGCGAGCACCTGATGCAAAAAAGCAAGGACAGAAAGACAGAGGAGGTTGCGGGGACAGTCTGCGTCTGGCCAGGATTTCCTGCCACCAAAGAGTCTTATAAGGCACTGCTGACTTCCCAGACCTCTGAAAACATTTTAAAAGTCTCCCCCTTCCTTGGACCGCCGAAGGCAGCGGTCTCCTGGTTCCCCTAACATCACATTCGCCATCATCCTTTTACTTACAAATCTAAGCCAACGTGCCCCAAACGGGGTCGAGATACTAGTTCTCCCCACACGACTCAACAGATCCAACAAAGGACCACCTCTATGAACATTAAACCCTTCAATGGACGAAGCTAATAATAACAGAAGCTAAAGGAGAACCTACTTCCAGGGCCGTGCATACAGCTGGTGCTAATTACTGAACATAAATGATAATTTACAGTCTCACAAAAAACCCTCTTTATAAACGGATGCTCATAAAACTTCAACGAATTTCCGACCGATTTTCAAAACCCTCATCACGTTGGTGGACGTTAGGCACCTTCAGCAACTCCTGCCCACGCAGCCCTAGGCTCTACAAAGAATGTTAATACGGAGGTCGGGGTGACGGAGGAAGCTGCTCCTCCCCCCGAACCTCAAGCCCTCAGAACCAGCTTCTAGCATCTCCAGTCTGTGGGGGAGGAACGCTCCCAAGGACAGTACTAATTTCACGGACGGAGCTCAACAAATTCAACAGGAGAGAACACGTGGGAGTGGTTCAGTGCTGACTTAGCCAGAGCCTGTGTTCAACAGATCGGGGGGGGGGGGGGCTGGGGGGGGGGAAGAGGCACAAAACAGCAAAAACAGTCGGGATGAAACATTTTCAACAGTGACAATGAGAAACAAAAGCTTATGCAAAGTCTACACATCTACTCAGAGGAAGACCCTCACGTTTCAGGGAAATTACAGACGAGCCCGTTGCATAGTTGTCAGAATGGCCTTGCGGCTGTGTATGCGATCCCAGAACGTCCGGTCAATCGGCGACCACCAGCAGTCACACCACTTGTCTGGCCTCCAGTGACTGAAATCCTCGTTGCTCAACCCATCACTTTGGCATCGTGTCGACAAAGTCTGAGTTAAGGCTGTGGGAACGGTGGGTCGGTGGACCTACAAAACCGAGCAGCTGCAAAGGGTCTTGGATCTCTGGCGGTTTCCTGACTGAACAGAACGAAAACTTACTGTTTGTGAACTCCAGAGCCTTTCTGATCAACAGGGCAGATTTTTGGGCTGGGGGTGGGTGGGGTGGGGTTCATAAAAAAACTTAAAAAAAAAAAAAAACCAAACCCAGCGGTTTCCAACGAACCGTTGTCTAGCAGCGACTTCTGTTCTCAGGCTTAATACAGGCTTTGCCAACAGGCGACAGTGTCGCCCACCCTAGGTCTTGGCTGAAAAGTAGGAATTCAAGTCTTTGGAAAATGGAGAGACAACTTATTTGAATTAAAATAAAGAAAATGTTCATTGTCCCTTAAAATAACTGCACATCTGCCTCTTCTTTCACGGGCAGGGCCTCTAACCCCGTACCCCGTCTTCTGCGGGGACGGGCTCTGCTCAGGAAGCAGGGCTTACGGGAAGATTTCAGACAGGTGACCAGTAGTTCACCGATTTTTTTTCACCCTCACTGTCTAGCTAGGAATCAATTAAATTCAATTGTTTTTTCTTTTTATAATGTACCCAAAGTCTGCTGTAGGTTCCATAGACTTCCCAAACAATCCCAAAATGGATTTCTATTTGGGAACTGTGGCAGTAGGTCAAGAGAGTTAAGGTTTGAGATGTGTACAGTCTGACAGAAGGACATGGTCTGGACTCTCAGGGGACGGGGACAGCACACGGACAACTGGAACTGTTGAGAGGACCAGCCGCTACGGTGTAAAGATTTTTGTCCACTAATCCCCAGGCCCATCCTGGGAATTTTTATTGAAGACCTCATCCTGGGAAGCCTGGTGATCGATCCCTTCATAAAACGAGCCACCGTTGTGCAGGAAAGTCCCCACCGCCCGCCCCTGCCGGGCGTGACCCACAGCGTCGCTGAACACTTTGTTTATTTGTTCCTCCGAGGGCATCCACCAGTCGGGGTTGGAAGTACAGTGCATCCTAATGAATTCTGTGGGAATATACACAACAATAAAGAGAGAGAGAAAAACAGCTGGTTTTTATGGAAGATGACAGACAGGCTGCTTAAACATTTACAGAAGCTCTATAAGAAGAACTGTACGGGAAACCCAACGTAATGCTGTGATGATGTCACTTCTAGACCCCACTAATCACACGTAAGCTTTCTACCCACGTGCAAAAGCAAAAACCACGCCAAGTGAGAGGGTGATCCTCCTAAGGAGGACCTGCCATCGAGTGGACGGTACATCTGACTGGTGAGAGGGGCCGCGGTGGACGTGGCGGAGTACGTCTGGAGCCCGTCGGCACCCGCTCACTTTTCTAGGATGTCAACTCTTTCCGGGAACGTTACCTAACTACCATCAGCACAGTACTCGTTAGTCCGCTAGTGATCTGCAGACTGAGTGTAACAGGATCACAACACCTCAACGACTGAGAACCTGTCTGGCTGGTGGTTCCGAAGGGGTCCCCACATTCTTCCCGCGTATTAGAGGTCGTGCTTGGTTCTCTAATCAGGACATCTGCACGTGTGCTGACAAGTATCTCTTAAGTATCTCTAAATATTTCATTTCACCAGAAAGCAATCAGCACGCCTGGAAGGGCGAATGGGTAACAGGTAACTAAGACTCTCAGGAAACACTCAGCCTCCCTCTGGGCGGCACGCGGGATCCTCCCCTCCGTGTGCTCGGGGGGCTGGGCACGTACACAACTCCCGCCTGGCTATTCTGACACGGACACTGGGAAACCGAAGTGAGCAATTTTGAAAAAAGTCCTAAGTCAAACTCTGTCCTTTTTGCACGGCTGACTGGAAGCCCAGAGCGCCTATTATACACCCCGGCTCTTCTCCAACACTGCTCCCAGACAGAAGCAGGTCTGGTCAGAGGACTGGGTTTGTCTGAAATGACTGCGTGGAATCTTGGCCCCGTTTGCCTTTAGGAGAAGCTGACGCTTCCCGTGTTTGGACCCCCAAAATCCCAAACTGAACCTCGCCCGTCTCGGTAGACAGATGGAGCTTAGCAGAGAAGCGGCGGCACCGCCGACTTTGTTGGCATCCCCCTCGATCCTGAGCCTGAGTGGGGAGCCTTGCTCACCTACCTGAGCCCCAGACCTTTACTGAAGGGAAAGAACAGGGTTTATTCAGCATCTCATCCTGCCAAACTGTCAGGATCAGACGGCTGAGCGGGGGCCCAGGCCTGGGAAACACTGATGGGGAGCCCCCTACTGCTCTTCTGTCCCCCCCACATCCCTACTGTGTTCAGCAGGTATCGAGTAGCTGTGGTGGTTTCCCAGTCTCTGTCTGGATTCCCTACTCACATCCACACAAGGAAATAAAGGCTAATGGATGAGGATGCTATGACCCTGCGACCCCAGGAACGTGCTGCTCTGTGATGCCTCTCGACCCCCACCCCCAGCTCAGCGTCTGCTGCTGACACAGGACCTTCTCTGATATTGTAGAAAAGACTATTAAAGGCTAAATGCAGAGCTCTTCTGGTTACACAGACCGGACACATGTCCAGTGGCCCTCTAGGGGAAGGTCAGCCCTGAGTTTGGTTCCATTCCCCAAAGCGCCCTGCTTCTCATCACTAGCGTCCAGAGGCCTGAGGTTCCCTGGGCTGTTCCAGTCTTGCTCGCCACAACGTGGACGTCCTCTCCGGGTTCCCCAGGCCTAAGCCTTTATGTAAAGAATCCCATCTGGGTCAGAGGAAGGCCCTGGGATTTCAGCTTTTGGGACTAGTATGTAAATGTTCCCATCACCCTTTTTGCCTATGAATTCTCCACCTGAGGGCACGGGGAGGCCTGTGCGTGTCCCCAGGTGAGGATGAGCTGGAGAATTCAGGTTCTGGTTAGCCAGCCTGGGCTGTGTCCGTGTCACAGCGGCTCAGGCAACGTTCTCAGGGCAAAGCACGAGTGCCCTGGGATGTTCGTTAATCCCTGTTTCACGGACTTGCTGGTTAAAATGTAAAACATTTAGTAAGAATTCCTGGAAAGGGATACAGCTGTGAGGCCCCTTGTCCTGATGCCCCCTATGGGCCCCAGAGCCACTTGGGGTACAGTGTCCCCAGGAGAGCCCCAAGCTCACGGCTGCCTCGGTTACTCTCCGTGAGTCACTGTCAGCTCTGATGATGTCGAGGAATAAAGGAGGCTACGGATAGTTTGCTAGGACAGACCTGGCCGTGCCCATCGCCCACTCTGAGTAAGGGAAACTTTCAGGCTGGCGCACCTGTGCCTGCTTGACGCAGGTGCTTTCACTCCAGGTGGTTTTCTCAGTATGGGCCCCCTGCACCAAAATCACCTGGGGCGGGGGAGATGGGCAGCAGTGCCTGCCTCTCCCCTGCACACCTGCCGAGTCACAAGCTGGGGCTGGGCCTGAGCCATTTCGGCTGCTCACAAAATCTCCATGTGCCTCGGGCACGCTAGTGTTCCAGGATGCTGTGGGCCTCCCACGAGGGACTGCTGGAATGTCCTTTCTGTAAACCAAGGCCTTGTCAGTAATACTGTTTCTTCGCTGCGACCTCATCAGGAAATATTTTGATCCCTGTCCAGAGTAAATTATTACTAAGTTTTCCCAACCAATGAAATTACTATTGAACCACGTACAGGCTAATACTTGAGCTTTTTGATATGGATTTTTCAGGTGTGAACAGTGTTCTGTCGGCGCTCTAGCGCCTCTACTTGCCTACGTCTGTGTTTATGTGCACCTGCCGAATCAGCCGTCTACCCCCGCCTTCTCCTCCTCTCCCTCTCCTGACCTGCCACGGTGCGGATCAGCTGTTAATACTGGTACAGCGCTATTCTCTGAGCAGGATCTTTAATATAGAACCTTAAAAAAAAAAAACTAGCAGAATAAAGCTGACTGGGCAACAGGTACTTGAGACAACCAATTTTAAGGAAAACTAACTAAATAAATTTAAGGAGTTGGGTCCGAGTCCTCTGGAGGAGGTAGCTGGGTGGGGGGTGGGGGCCCAGGCTGCAAATGGCAAACGGGATAGATCATTTCACTAATTTTTAAAAATATTCCACACCTCCCCTTCCTCTTGTGCGTTTCCCAATGCTCCAGTTTGCGGGCGGTGGCCTTCTGTGGCAGCAAAGAAAATCTGAATTTAAAGCGTGAAACATGAGGTGCTATGCAATGCTTATGTGCCATTAAGTGAGAACGTCAAGGCTCAAGCAAACGAAGAGTTTTGAAAGGACTTCTCAATACCAAGTAGATGGGCCACATGGAAGCCTATAAAGATCTCACGGGGGAAAAAAAAACATCAAAATACAGTAAAGGCTGAACACTTGCACGGGGGTGGGGGGGAGCCACAGCCAATGCGGTGAAATGAGACCACAGATGGTGACGCTGAGCGGAAGGATGCAGTACCTCGGAGGCATGTTACTTTAACTGGATCCAGAGGGCGTCTTTCGGGACCTGTCTCTCCTGACTGCACTGACCTTTTCCTTTTCCCAAGGCCGCATGAGTACTTAAGCTCATCGGTTGTGAAAACAAATCTGATGAGGTATCGAAGGAGCCGTCTTCCGTCTTTCTTTGAAGAATTTACAGCCTCGTCCCACTGTTTGCTCGTTATGTAGACAGGATAGTTGTTCAACAGCTGCTTGCTTCCCTGGAAAAGCCAAAGTATTTTCTCATTACCTTCTTAGCCAGCCAGCCAGCCAGCCAGCCAGCCAGCCAGCCAAGGCGATCTCCATTTCAAAGGCAAGACATGGTTTTTAACCAAGTGGCTCTGCTGACAATGAACCAGGTAGTGAAGAGCACAGGTAATTGCTCACACTCAGAACGGGCACTTTTCAAATTACATTTGCATTTTCTATAACAAGAGCCAATGAGGTATAATGAACACCTTTGAAAGAGGAGCTATTTATAACTTGCATTTTAACAGGTAGGTTAAAATGTGTCAAGATCCAATGACAGGGAACACTATTTAAATATAACCCGCAACTTTCCTTTTCAATCTATTAAAATATGCAAAAAAATGACTTTGAAGAGTGTGATCAAACAGGTCTCTTCATCCTCTGGTTGGCGGTTAAGTATTTTTAGAAATGATGCTGGTGGTCTAATTTTCGTAAAGGTACTACTCGTGTTTAATTCGCCTGACACCTGATAGCCATTGCGTAACAGCAGAAACAGCATTAAAAAGCGAATTTAAAAAAGGGGGGAAACTGTGAACCCCACCCCCCCAAGTCATCATGGATAATAATAATGCAAACCAGCTTTCGTCAAATTACAGCTTCTGCAAATGCCACTGTGTCAACTCAAAATTTTTCTTCCTTTTCATCTTCTTAATTTATGTCTGCTACAAAATTCCCAGGCTCAATAGCTGCAGTGGGACTAATTACAAGAATTTCTGTAACATTTATAAGGCATGTTTAGTCAATTCCACCTACACAACCATTACTTTAGTTCCGGTTGTCCATAAAATTCTACAGTCCAGGACAAATTAATTAACCCATGATCTCAGTTTTAATGTACTCCCTTCCTCGGTAATTCAGGTGTTCAAAATAAAGAAGGAAAAATTCATTCAGTTTTACAACTCTGTAAATCGACTACAGGTTATAAATTGGGCACTGTTTGGGTCCGATATGGGTTCATTTCAGAAAGTGCCGTTAGTAAGCAGGGAGAGGGCGATGGGCCAGGCTGGGGCCCCCCGGGAAGGTGGCTCCCGGGGAGGTGGCCCGCAGGGGCCCAGAGCCCGGCGCCGGCAGCACGCGGCTGAGCCTCCTTGGGGGAGGCCGCGGACGCCCGTGGTCTGTGCTCTGCGTGTGGAACAGCGGCAGCTTGCACGGAACCTGGCTCCGCGGCTCCTGTGGGGTCCTGAGTGACCTCCACTAATCGGGGGGACCAGAACTCCCCTGCGTGGGAAACAGGAAGAAGTGAACCGTCGTGGGTTTAGGAGTGAGCACACGGCACGTTGAGGGCCGGAGGGCGGCGGGGCTGACGTGGGCCCAGGCCACTGTCTTGGGGGGGCAGGGGCTGGCGGGGAAGCCAGAGGGGAGCTGTGGGGCCCAGGGGCCGGGGGCGCGCGGAGGATCCCCACGCAGGACAGCGGTGCCCCTCCCAAAGACAAGGGCCAGATGGCCACGGTGGGAGGCAGCGAGCGAGGACCCCCGAGGGTTCCCACACTCGGGGAGGAGGAGCTGGGCCCTGGGGCGCGGGGGGGGGGGAGCCTTCCTCAGCCCACAGATGGCGTCAAGGTCTCTCCGGAAGGACCCACCAGGATCCGCCACCAGATCCACCAGCAGCCGGCCTGCAGGGGCATGGTGTCCCCACGGGAGACGAGCCCACGGCCGGGGCCCGGTAACAGTGGCTAAACGGGGACTCCCTTTCCTTCTTTCTACTGCTGTGGCACTGGGACGTTTGAAGAGCCTCCGACGGGTTTTCGCTGGCAACGTGAGAGAACTTTAGGGAGAGGAACAAAGACGGGGGGGCCGTGGAGGGCTCCCGGGGGTGAGGGCTCCTGCCAACGTGCGCCCTGGGCGATCGCTTGGCCGTGCTCCTTGCAAGCACACCCGACAGCCCCAGACGGGGAGACTGAGCGGCTCTTGGCAAACCTTTTATTTAATGTTGTGCAAGTTTTTTTTTTCCTTTTTAAGATTTTATTTGGGAGAGCAGAGCTAGAGCGAGCATGAGCACGGGGAGCAGCAGAGGGAGACGCAGGCGCCCCGCTGAGCAGGGAGCCCGAGGCGGGACTCGATCCCGGGACTCTGGGGTCACGCCCTGGGCCAAAGGCAGGCGCTAAACCGCTGAGCCACCCAGGGATCCCCAGTATTTTTGTTTTTGTACAATAGAAATGTCAAGTTCAGAAATGTGGACCCTATTCTGGGAGCAAAAATGAGAGAGGGGGAGGATGTGCTGCCATGGTCTAGGGACAAGGGCGGGGAGGGAGGCAGAGGGAGGAGCGGCTCCTCAGCGAGGCTGCAGAGCAAGCAGACGTCAGGGCCGAGGAAGGCGCGGAGGCTGTGAGGGCTCAGGGAGTTCCACGTGGGGTTGGTGCTGCCTTGACCCGGGAGAACCGGGTGGGGCCGGAGGGCGCAGGGCGTCCACGGTTGATCCCAGCGGCCGGCAGCGGGGCACCCGGAGCCCAGATCTAGCTTTGGGGCCCGTTACCTGCACGGGCTCGTGGTCACAGGGAACGGACCTGAGCGGAGAGGGGGCGCGGGAAGGGACGAAGGCTGGCGCCGGACAACAGTGCACGCAGGGCTCCTTCAAGCACGACGAAAGCCCGGGGAGCCAGAAAGTTCCTGACCCCAGGGCCAGAGAAACGGCGCATGGAGCAGGGAGGTCTCCCCCCGCCCCCCGCCAACAGCCGGAGCTGGGAAGGCCACCGCCGCCTGCAGACGACTCCAGCAGTGGAGGTGCAGCCAAAGGACGGGGTGAAGGTGGGACGGCGGGGGGAAGAGCAAGTGGAAACCAAGAGTGGGGTCACCATGTCACGAACGCAGACCGGTCTTTCAAGGGCTTAATGACTAGGAAAAAATGAGGTCACCAGTCTGCAGGGGCCTTCGACGCCAGGCCTGCGGGGCACACGGGAGGCCGCCTGGGGAGCAGGGGCACCGCGGCGCAGGGTAAGGGCTGACGGGCTATGCCCAGCGACGGAAGCTGAGGGAAGGCAGATGATGGAGGCGGAGGGAGGGGTCAAGGCAGGCCGGTCTTCAAGGGGGGAAGACTCAAGGGTGTGCAGCACGCAGTGACCCAGTAACCGGGTGACAAGGGACGTTGGCCGCGGGAGTCCCGGGAGGGGAGCGCGGCACTGAAAGAACGGATGCGGGTCGGGCTGGTGCGGGTGGCAAGGTGGTGGGGGGGACACCGCCGGGGCGGGGCAGGTGCGCGGACCCGGAATCCATGTGGTAGGACTCGCAGGACCGGGCTCAACGTGGTGCTGCCGAGGGTTCCACGGAATTCAAGAGGCAGGGTGGCGGGGCCAGGGGCAGGGCGCTGCGAGGAAGGGGCAGACGGGGACGGGCCCCTCCTAACCGCGGGGGAGGCGGGTGACCCCACACCCGGAGCTGGGAGTCCCAGGGCGCGAGACCCACTCCGCCCTTTTCACCCTCTGGTGTCTTCCGTGCAGACGCGTGCAAAGCAGCGTGTCCCCATGTGCCCTTGGCCGTGAGGCCGGGGTCAGGGCGGAAGAGCAGGTGCGCGGCCGGACGTGCGCCACAGCTGTCCGGGGACGGAGGCTCAGGACGACCAGAACTGGACACAGGAGTGCGGAAGGATGTGTGACGAGGACATGCGAGAGGGTCCTGCCTCGACTCCCCTTGCCACGTGAGGAAGACTTAACTCCCCAAAAGGCACTTACGTACTGAGGTCAACCCAAGACGTTTCTAACCACAATTGCTCTTCCACTGGGTGTGGGTTCTGAAGTCCGGAAGATAGGGCAGCCCGGGGGGCTCAGCGGTTTAGCGCCGCTTTGGACCCAGGGCATGACCCCAGGGTCCTGGGTTCGAGTCCCGCATCGGGCTCCGTGCATGGAGCCTACTTCTCCCTCTGCTTGTGTCTCTGCCTCTGTCTCTGTGTCTCTCATGAATAAATAAAATCTTTAAAAAAATAATAAAGCCCGCAAGATAAAAATAACACCTATCCAAACCTGAGCCTTGGCAATCCGGTAAGAACGTGCCATGTTTCACCCGACCTGCGTCCCCGCGCCCTGGCAGGGCTGTGCTGCTCCTGCAAGGCCCGAGCAGCCGCCAACCAAGCCGCGGCACAGAGATCGTGCACCTGCGTGGGGGCGCTCGCTCCGAGAGCACCAGGGCTTTCTGGAAGCGGCTCCAGCGGGGGGAGGTGAGGCGGTCAGCCCCCGGCCCGTAGCAACGCTGCGAGAGTGGCCTCTGCCCTGTTCACTGCTCTTCCTTCCTCCCCCCGCAGCACACGGCGTGGAACCTGGCTGAGGCTGGACACCCGCGTGCTCTTCCTTCACGGGAGACCTACGCACAGGTGGGGGAACCACCAACCTCAGCGCCGCGCGGGGCTCGCGGCCCGTTGTGCCGTGTCCGTGTGAGCCATCAGGACGCCGCACCTGCGGGGCAGCCGAGCGGGGCCGCGTTTACCTTCCTGCAAGGAGCCTACCTCGGTGGGCTGGTCTGCAGGCTGAGGGACCAGGAGCTGGTTGTGGTGCTGCAGCACGGTCTTCAGGTAATCCAGAACAGTCTGGCAGGGCACTGCGGGGAGAAACGGCAACCACAACACATTAGCAGGCCCGTGACAAGGAAATGAAAGGGCCTAAGGCTCAAAAAGAGTTTGGATGTAAACTTCTAAAAAAACCAAAAAAACAAAACTTTTCTAAAGGAACTAGAATCTTCTTTGGTTTGACATCCGCAGTTATTTCCGTTTGTAAATACACAACAGATGCCTACAGTCTGGGGAGAATTTTTCGGCTCAGCACAATTCACCGAGAACTTTCGAGTCACACGCGCTCCAAGATGAATTTGGGCCGACAGTGACGATCAGTGAGGCACTCACACGAGGGACGGGTCCTGGAGCCTTCAAGCTGTACCGTTAGCACCCAAGGTCGCCGCAAACTAACCTCCCCAGTTTCAGATCCGTAGTACAATACTCGTTTTTTTTAAAAAATAAATTTATTTTTTATTGGTGTTCAATTTGCCAACATATAGAGTTAACACCCAGTGCTCATCCCATCAAGCGCCCCTCTCAGTGCCCGTCACCCATTCACCCCCACACCCCACCCTCCTCCCCTTCCCCCACCCCTAGTTCATTTCCCAGAGTTAGGAGTCTTCATGTTCTGTCTCCCTCTCTGATATTCCCCACCCATTTTTTCTCCTTTCCCTCCCTATATTCCCTTTCACTATTTTTTATATTTCCCAAATGAATGAGACCATATAATGTTTGTCCTTCTCCGATTGACTTACTTCACTCAGCATAATACCCTCCAGGTCCATCCACGTCGAAGCAAATGGTGGGTATTTGTCATTTCTAATGGCTGAGAAATACCCGTTTTTGACGGCAGAGCCATTCCTAGGTCAGCGGCAGGCGGGACGGGCACGCGGGGGACACCTGCTTCCCGACCCGGAGAAAGCCGGCCAGAGCTCTCACCCCTCGGGGCCCAACGCACATTTGGTTGCTGTGTAGCTCGCCAACTGTTGCACTAAATTCTTGGGCCTTAATCTCATCCATTCGTTGAATAATTACAATAAAACCGAACAGATATTAACCCGACATGGAGCCTTGACACCTTTTTGTACCACTGCATAAGTAATTCCTACGGCGCGAGATTTATGTAAGAGCCCTTTCAGGAACGGTATTAACTAATTGCTTTTAAAGGTCTTGGTAGCTTAGTTAATAACCTAATTTATAGGAATTATTGCCACTGTGTGTCCCAGCTGTGGGGTTTTCTTAGGCTGTTTTTGTCACATTAAAGAAAATAATATTTAACCTAAACCTCAATTTTAAAGTATCACTGCTGCTTTCTGCACTTTCTTTTTCCTCACTTTTTTTTTTTTAAGATAGCATCTTTATCCACACTGCTAATAGCTTTGGGGTTTTTTTTTTTTAGGGGACATCACATTGTGACGTAACGAATCAAAATGTCCATCCACATCCTTTCGAAGGATATGAACGATAGGAAGTAGTCGTAGTTTGGCAATCTTTTCTTCTTGTCAAAAAAAAAAAGAAAAAAGAAGTATTTTGTTGAATAACCACCTTTCTGGACCTGCGTCCCACTGTCCTTGAGTGCAGTCTTCGTGCTGGAGAAGCACTTGCTGCACAACCACGAAGCCACGGCCTCCTGTCAAACCAGAGCCTCGTAAACGAGGACGTCGAACTTCACGCCTATTAAAAGTCGAAGCCACCGTACTGATGCCTCAGGGAGGGAGAATGAATTTTGCTTAATGGCAGTAATGGGGGGAAGCAGAGGACCCGCGAAGCTAATGGAGCCAGGAAGCCATTCGCTGCTCCAGTTCTGGGTTTTCACTAACCGCGTAGCCCGCGGGGCCCCATTTCACTCCTGTGTCCAGGTCTCCTGTACCCGGGACCGCGCGGGAGGTTCCCAACAGCAGCACTTCCCCTTCGCGGCTTGTGATTCGAATCACACGCAGCCGCACGCACGTCACTGATTTGCCAAGTGACACGTGCGAGGTAAGACTCTCGCTTTCGTTTGTTAAGTTTTAGTAAAAGTTGCAAAAACACTGGGCAGCCCGGGGGGCTCAGCAATTTAGCACCTGCCTTCGGCCCAGGGCATGACCCCGGGGTCCTGGGATCGAGTTCTGCGTGGGGCTCCCTGCAGGGAGCCTGCTTCTCCCTCTGGCCCGTGTCCCTCATGAGTAAATAAATAAAATCTTCAAAAAAGATTGCAAACACTCATGGACTGATTGGGATTTGAATGAAACTCCTTTGGATCCCTTACCCATATTTCATAGTCATTAAGACGTTTACGAGGGGGCGCCTGGGGGGCTTAGTCGGTTAGCATCTGACTGTTGATTTCAGCTCACGCTGTGACCCCAGGGCTGGGCGATCGAGCCCCACAACGGGCTCCGTGCTCTTCCGTGCTCCGTGGGGACTCTCTCCCTCCCTCTCCTCCTGCCCCTGCTTGTGCGCACACACTCTTTCGCGCGCTCTCTCAAATAAATAGATCTTTAGAAGAGATATTTATGAAAAAAGTGTTTAGACGAAGCGTTTAAAAACGCTTACGACACGGAATATTCAACATGACCTCCATCACGTTACGAATAATTACGTACATAAAGAGACTGGAAAGAAATACGCTGGAGCATTAATAATAATAATTAGCGATGATTACGTTTTAGTAGCAGGATCAGGGTAGTTATTATTCCCACAGTCGTTGTAAAAACCAATTTAAAAAAAACTTCCAGGGGGGACCCCTGGGTGGCTCAGCGGTTTAGTGCCTGCCTTTGGCCCAGGGTGTGATCCTGGAGTCTCGGGATCGGGTCCCGCGTCGGGCACCCCACAGGGAGCCTGCTTCTCCCTCTGCCTGTGTCTCTGCCTCTCTATGTCTATCGTAAATAAATAAAATCTTTAAAAAAAAATAATAAAAATAAAAAAACCTCTACAGTGGGCATGTGTAATAATAACGTAGAAGTTGTCTGAAGCACGTTGATAGGATTGCCACCCCGGTTCCCTTGCTGGTCGTCCGCACAGCCCTGGGAAGGCCCGCAAGCCAGCTCCCCCATTCCCCACACTCCCAATACTTGGGCAGCAGTGCTGAGCTAGGAGCGAGGCCGGCGGATTCAAACGTTGGGAGAAAATGGGATTTCACGTGCATTTACGGGCTGTAGGGGCAAGTGGGTCCTGTAGGTGGGTACCTGGGCCCAGGCTGAAGGCCAGGAGGCCAGGACAAGGCTCTTCCCCAGCCCTTACGATGTACACCAGCCCCTGGGTGTGGTGTGGGGCCCTCCCCGGCCCTGATGCTCACAGGGCAGAGGCCTCCAGGCCCCTTCCCAGCCCCTGAGGAGACCGCAGCCCTGCGGTGACACATCTGGAATGTCACCCGAGTGGGCTCTTTGCAGGGCTGCCCGTGTTTATGCAGAGAAGCTGCAGAATCAGACGAAACTTTGTGTGTGTGTGTGTGTGTGTGTGTGGAGAAAAACCCCAATAAAGTCCGTATAGAAAGTGGGGATAGTTGGGTCTGTTCACGAGGGAAGACCGTGAAAGGAGAGACTCGATCCTCCCCGCAGCCACACCATGCTGCCTCCCAGAGGAAGCAGCGGCCCCGAGAAGAAATCGTGGAAACGCCCCCGTCGCGTGGCCTGCTGCTCCGCAGACGCTGCTCCCCTGGCTCTCACGGGGCGCGGCCGGGGGTCAGGGATGGTCCGGGAGCTGCGATGCCCCAGCCGCCTCCGCATCCCACGGCCCCCCACGCACATCCTGGACAGTAAGCAGGGCGCCTGCTGCCGAGAAGCTGCGGCCGGAGACCTGCTGGGGGGCTTTCACCTACTGGCCGAAGCCTTAGGCCTAAGAAAGGCCGCGACCCGCAGGCTTAGGGAGACCCTAGACGAGCCAGAGCCTGTCAAAACTTCCATGAAAGGGGAGGGAGGACGTAAGGCAGTCCACAGGTCCCCAGGTCGGTCCTGCCGTCAGTAATCACTACTTCCACCCCCCCCCACCCCGTCCCCCACGCACCAGCATGTGGAAATGCAGAGTCCTGCAAGGAGTACAATGCCCAGGAGGGAGAGAAGCTACAGGTTCGTAAGATGTTCCGTGTCCACGGAGACGGGGGGAAACGGGTTCCCAACACCCCCCTGGTCATCCACGGCCTGCCGAGGAACGTCCTCCCCTGGGACACAGGCCGGTTGCCTCGCCCGGATGGCTCCACTTGGTCCTGTCGGGGGGGTGGGGGGGTTCGCAAAGTCCACACCGGCAGGGCCTGCACCACACTGTCCGCCGCTCCTAGTGCCCATTAGTTGGCTGCAGGGCCCTCCCCGCGGACATTGGTCCTCGAGTAAGTCTTGGGTGGCTTTCCCCTTCATGGTCTCTACCTGGCACTAGGAACTGTGATTGTGGGCAGGTTGGTCGACCGGTCTTAGCCTCTGTTACCTCCTCTGCAAAACAGGGACAATTACCTACTGCATGCAGGTACTGGGGGGACCGAAGCACCCCCGTCGAGCGGAGAGCCCCAGTGACTACTGCCCCATGTCAGCTGGTCTTGTTTTACCCCCAGGAGCCTAGCGAGTCGCCTGGGGGTCACCGGATGGACTCTGTTGGGGCAACGAGTAAGGAGGGTCCAGCCCCAGCTCTGCGTATTCCCGTTAGGGAGGCCTGGCTCTCGAGCACCTGGTTTTCACGGCACATCAGCACGTTAAAATCCCGAGCAGTTCCTCCAGCACTATTTAATTTACTTCACTGTGTAACTGTCTTTAAAGACTCACAAAATACACCCCCCCATGATTTTACGGGGAAATTGAAATGATCGACTGTCCCGATGACCACGCCGTCTGGGCGCTCATGCCATCCTTCAGTGTCCTGCTTATGCGGTGTCTGAAGCGTAAGCCCCTGAGCCGTGAACACGCAGGGAGGAATGACGAGCTTTTGGTCGTACGCGGCCCTACGGGGCCCTATGTGCGTGATGTCAGCGCCACGTGCAGATGCCACATGCCCGGCAGTGGGCTAGGCTTGGGGCACTTGGAGGACACTGACCTCGCCGGTCCTGTCAGGACGCCCGGGAGAAACGGGCAAATGCACAAAGTAA